AAAAAAAGGTAAAGAAGAGGCTCATCAATAGAAAATCCAAGCACTACTGTAAGGAATGTTACAGAAGGAAGGAAGCAAATGACTAGGATGGCAAGAAAAGCTGGCAACTTCTATGTACCTGCAGAGCTCATTGTGGTGTTTGCCACTAGAATCAGGGATATCAGTGATGTGAGCCCAAAAACCCAATAGGGGCCCCCTTAGCCAGATCTTCAGTGGCATCTTTGTTAATCACCACAAGGATTCAATGAACTTGCTGAGTATTGTGGAACTGTGTATTACCTGGGCATTCCCTAACCAGAAATTAGTAAATTAACTAATCTATAAGTGTAACCATGGCAAAATCGGTAAGAACGGATCAGGACAGGTTGGTCATCTCTTGGTAAATGTATCAACTGTAAAGAGATCTGTACTGCTTAAAAATGCTTCAGAGACAAATAGACTGGATGCCTCAGTTCATGAACACACACTTTTGTTTGCAAACACATATTTGGCAAAAATTTGGTTTTGTTTGTAAATTCTGCATCAGGGATGTATATGACCGTGGCCATTCTTCCTGCAAAGACATGAATATGGTTGTCATTTCTAGAATCATCGAATAAGTTAAGTTCATGAATGTGGGCAACACTGTCCCTTCCTGTGGCCCTTCGAATAATCTCCACAAGCTGAAATGAAGAAGACCATTCATGTTGTGGAAGTTGGAGACACTAGCAGTAGAAAGACCGAACAGGTTTACTAAAGATTAACTGAGATATCTACTATGGTATTTTGTTCAGGAACAGTACCTGCCCCAATAAGTAAATAAATAAGTAATAAAACCCATAGAAAACCCATCTAAACCAGAATAAGAACATGGCACTCCTGGTCAGGTGGCATTGGATCAAGGCACCAGCTCCACTGTCTCCTAGCATCATGACCTAGACCATGAATGCTCATCTCTGAGCCTCAGCTTTCTTATCTATAAAATGGGTATGATGGGTCTTAGAGAGGCTCTGCTAGGGCTTGTATCCATAGGTTTCCCCAAATCCTCAAAAGTGAGGCATTTTAGTGCTGGCTGGGTCTAAGGTGTGTGCTACTGAGATTAGGAGTGTATATGTAGTACAAAATTAGTCCATTGATTGGTTTAGCACAGTTCTTGGTATGGAAAAGGGGAAGGCCTATCCCAAGTGTGGGTGGCAACACCAAAAAGGTTGTTAGCCTGGATGAGATAAATGGGAAAGAGAAGCTTGCTTCACTGCTTGCAGCTTGCTGCCTTCTGTCATCTGCCTGCCCTACTATGAAGTGCTTCTCCCTTGTGACGTCCCTTGGCCATGCCACCCTACTCAGGAGCCAGCTGACTACGGACTGAAACTGTTGCAAACTGAGCTAAAATAAACTTTTTCTTCTTTAACTTTGAGTGTCAGATATTTTCTCTCAATAATAAGTAAAGCATCCATGCCAGGTATCGTAAAGATCACAGCCATGTACTATGTAAAGTGAATTATTAGAGCTGACACGGTGTTGCAGGGGATAAGAGCTATCTGTATTCTTTTTTTTTTCATTTTCTATATTAATTTTATTGAGAAGTAGAAATGAGACAGTTTCCAAATAGGTTAGTAGGATGGTTACAATAATTGATACATTGCATATTGTTGTCTTTGTAGCA